GGCGTTTGTCTCACTGTTACGTACTACACGCAAGCCCCATTAACCTATGAACAGGTAGATAATGATCTTGTAGGTTAATATATCGATACAACAGACACTTTCGACAGAGGGTTCTCTTGGCTATTGTTCCATGGGCTATTAGTGTTCAAGGCCACGGGAAGATCACATAGTAACTAGCCCCGTTTGCTCTAGTGGTAGAAACAAGCCGTACCGGTAACGTGTGTTATGAGATTTTGACTGTCTCTCGCAGTATATACTGAACTGAGTGGAATGGCAGTTAGTGCGCTAAGCCCATTCTAGTCCGATTCCGACCGGTATTATAGACCTGAAGGGATAATGAATTGTACACAGCCAGGCAGTGTAGCACCTTCCTGGTGGTGGAGTATATTTAAGTAAATCTCGTTTGCAAAACTTAAATCAACTGTCACGCTGATGGGAACCGTTCCAGCAGTAATCACCCCAACACTTCACGCCTGGATCTCTGATCAACTAACCAATCCCCGGGGTACACCACAGAAAACCAAGTGCTTGTTCAAGAGGATAACATAGAACTTTAATTCAAAAGTATAATTTCTAAGCCGTATAATAACAATTTGGTGCCGTGTTTCTGCGCTCCGAGTAAAAAAATTGTGCGGCAACCATTCTATTCATATACAAGCTGGGTAACCCGATAGTGTACTGAAAAACCGTACAGTTACAGAGACATACCCCTGAGCCTGCCAAGGATGCTTCTGCTTCGTTGAGAGGAACCACTTGGCCTTCTGATGAGACCATGATTCCAACTAATTTCCTTCGCACTACCGGCAACGTTACATGATTCATACTGAGGTAGTATCGTATGGGCAGCGAACAACAGCCACAAATATGGGTATATTTTCGTATATATATATATTGCATTCTAATGAAGACTACATATTTTATTTAGAGTATATTAATTTTAGAGGTGACGCGCCAAAAAACAATTCACCAGCAATCTCATAGCTTTAGCCTGCTTCTCTGTTATTTAAAACAAATAATTTGGAATAAAAAGAGGCTATGCTTATAGCCATAACCACTATTTAATAATTTTATTAATTTTTGTTCTTTCAGGTCTCTTCTCTCTTGTAATAGCCACAAGGGTATAGTTCGGTACTATACTAAGGTACCGAACTACAGAGGTCTACCACTTGGGAGGATGGACAAGGAGCTGTCATGGCGATTAGTAAACTAATATAACCCTATTGATGGAGCTGATATGACAGGATAGAGGTGCTTGTGGACGCCAGGGCTTAGCTATGCTGTACAGAGGATTGGATAACTGTTGTAGAGGACAGAGGAGTTACCTATTATGGAAGGTGTCGTGAACAATGGTACCAGCATAGTGAGGATGAAGGAAGAAGTAGCATGGCCTGGGCTCTAGTATTTCTGTGGTTGACGGAGAAAATATACTTATAGGTTGTACAGTAGGGATATCCGAGCATTTGTGCTGGAAGAGCTCGGAGGAATGTCTAATAAACTGCTTGAAACCCTACTGTGTTGATAACTATAATTAGACATACTGTGCTTGACCAGCAGGTAACTACGATATATTTAGGATAGACAGTGCTGATAGACCGGCTTATTTAATTTTGGGCCGATGTGTCAAATCAAAATTTTGATTATGGGTGAATTTTTTAACAACTCCACGTCTAACAAAATTCTAATAGTATTATTGAAGGTGTACGTTCATGTAAGCGTCTCGACGATGACGACCGGACGTTCCTGTTGCCTTGGTTTAGGGCGTGGGATGAATGCAAGACGACCAAGGCGTATTCTCTCTTGCTCAAATCCAAAGAGCAAACTAGCGCTTGCTGCGACCAATGTGTGGTCTTGATGATACGTCTGGTTAGCCCATCAGTGGAGTATAAATTGTGATCTCGGATTAACAATAAGCCTGGAGCAGAACATTATGCGCACATTTGGACCCTGTGCCAACCTGTTTAACCAAGGTAGGAGTGTGGCCGTTCAAGCCTGGGCTGCAGAACTAAAAGATGACACATATGCTCTGCACAAAGAGCGTCAGCGGCTTGCTCAGGAGCTAGCTGAGATCGGCATAAATCGATCGTGCTACAGGAGTCGTTGGACATCATAGAAAGTGAAGAGGGTATTAAGGACAACTCTAATTATCAATATGAGCGTTCAGACAGTGGTATTTCTTCTCGACAGCACTCTTCTGGTGAGTGATCAACAGATGGTACCGGTGATCACCAGGCGACGACGACGGTGCTGTTGATGACGATGCTATGGATGCTGGACTCAGCGAGGCAGCCAAGAAGCGCATTGCGGCATTGAAGGCGGCTATTAAAAAGGCTGAAGACAATGGCAATGTGAATACTCACCGAATTGGGCGAGAGTACGGTTTAGATCAACCGTGCGAACTTCCGTCTGATGAGGAGATCCGCGATAACATAGAGAAGAACCGGCATGTGCTTGGTTTCACTCCGCACAAGTGGCTAGCTCGACTTTTAAGTGAGCCAAGGATGGATCAACCGATCTACATCGATATCCGGTTTTCAAGTGAGCGACTCGCTCGTAGAATTCAAGAGCTCGATCAGTTGGTCCTGTTCTTGTTTTCTATTTGCCTGGAGGGCAATACACGAGCGTTCTTTATTACTATATTTACATCGATTGGCGGTTACGCAGCATTAGCCTCGGTGATTGCGATGCGCTATGAAGGACGCGACAAAAAGCCCAGAACATATATGGATAGAGAGCGTGGACGAGAACATAAAGACCGCGACAAGGATTCTAAGGACTCGTCTTTGCAATCGTATTCTCAGAGATCTGGGGAAGTACTGAACGGGATTGCAATAGTCGGAGGCGGTCCATATAGCGGGATGACAGGTCTCGTTCTCGTGGACACAGGGCTTCTCGTTCGCCTGGGAAGAGGAAAAGTGTCCCTCCATACATCAAGTGTCATCTATGTGGTGGCCCACATTTTCGGGCGGATTGTCCTCAAAATATCAAGAACACGCCCGTGGCAGCAGATCTTAGTCCTGATGCCAGCGCTTCAAGCGCGAATTGACTAGCCGGTGCAGAACCCACTGTAACTGTACAGATTGGGGGGACGCAAGTACAGCTTTTCTTTGACCTCGGTTCGTTCCCGTCCATGCTTCCCCGTTCCGTTGTGGATGCCGAAGGTCTTCAACGGATCCCCATTCCTAGGGAGGTTCTCGAGGCCTACAATGGCTCTTTGAACTTGTCCCCTGAGTTTGGTGTCGAGGCATCAGTTTCTATTTCCGTTTATAATATTCATACTCAGCAGATGAGTCCGTTTGTCTCGGACAAGATCATATTTCATGTCGTAGCGAAGGTTCCGTTGGAGAATAATTCTATCCTAAGTTTCTTCGCTCAGCGCGATAGCTTGCTGGAGACGGTGTGGAATACAGCTGTTATCCCACCCTCATTCTGTCTGACGGTGAAAACAAGACATCGGAGACTAACAACATTCAAATCCTTCCTTTTTAGGAGGAGGACACTCCTGTATCTATGTATGATTTTTCTCACCTGGATAATCTGGCTGCTGGCATTGGGGTTCCGTCTTAAGAGCTGAGCCGGATGAAGGACATGTAGAATCGGAGTGCATATGACAAGATGAAGCCTTATGTGATTTCCAAGGGCTCGGGGTTTTGTATTCCGACTCGAGCTGATGCGATTCCTGCCAGGAGTGCGTTTCGGAACCGGGACTCTACAAAGATTGCCATTGGACAGAGTAAGTGTGCGGCCGAGGTTGATCTAGGCATTCTCCAACGTTGTGAGGATGAAGATGGTTGGCTAGCTCCTATCATCCTAGCTGACAAGGGCAAGGGGTAGACACATCGGTCGGATGACAACTATCGGATGTGTCAAGCCTACCCCAGTGAAGAGGATCTGCGACGCCACATTTGTAACTCGTGGTGTAGCACTATCACTGACAACATTTATGGCTTTAATCAGTGTGCAATAGCTGAGGAGGATCTTCACAAGACGCGGTCCCTGCCAGGTGACGACCAGGTCTACAAAGGTATCGGTGCAGGGTTCGATCTCGCGGTGGTTCCAGCTCAGTATGCACAGAGGAACAAGATAACTTCGGGATGTCGAAGGTATCGTCTCCTTTGTGAAATATGGTGCTACGTGCACGCAGAAATTGGTCGATGAGGCGAGTTCGGAGCCAGTGACCTCTGCTGCAGGTGGAGTGCTACTGCAGCCTCGGGACCAGTTGTCAGTATTAGCTACTGATGGTGCTCCGGGTCGAGCGCAGTTGGGTGTTGATCAGATGTCTTTGGTTGGAGTGCCGTATCGGCGTCGTCCGTTACCGCGGTTAGTGGATGTTCTTACTCACGTTGGTACGTCGCCCGACACACAACGTATGTCACCGGCGGAGCTGGAAGCAGATAGAGTGCATTGGCGGTTGCTTTGACAGTTGTTCAATGCGGCAGCACGTACGGGGCCGAAGTCCAACGCTTTGAAGACGCACATCGCGGTGCCGAAGCGTATTCTGAAGTCGTTCAATAGTCGGCTGTAGTATGATGGATTTCTTACTAATGACGACGAGTGGATGCAAGGCATCGCTAGTATTAGTCTTCACGCCGACAAGGATTGGTGGTCATGCATCATCCCCGGGTTGAGCGCGTCTTTGATGTCGTTGACCAATCAGACCCGTATAGAAGCCAGGTTTGACATCAATTTAGAGTCTTCTCACGAATTGGATATATCTGTATTCGCCAGAGTAGCATGAATAACTGCACGCTTATCCGGACGCGTGTGATGTAGCCATTGGGGGTGCGGTCATGGTGCGCCGTGCGCCTAAAGTGGTTTTGCGGATGGAAGAGACGATTGCAGGATGGAAAACTGAGGTTGATCGCCAGCGGTTGGCTAGGAAGATGCCTACGGAAGCGTTGCGTGCTGGGGCGGTAGCCCAGGATACTTTGGTGACGTATTTGGAAGAGAAGGGTGATCCTTTAACTGAACCATTACTGCGGTGGAAGACTCAATCTACACGAGTGACAAAGGGCCGGGAGCTTTCTGTGGAGTTTATGGATAAACAGTTGGCTATAGCCCCAGCTGTTTGGGATAAAAGACATGGCATAGCTGTGTATGATATGAATTATCTCTTCTGCGTGGTATTTTATTCTTCTAAGCTGCCTCCTTCCATGGGTGACTGCCATGTGTTGGATTTGTAATTGTCGGCTACAGAGTTTGTACTTCATAAGATTGCTTTTATGGCGATGCGCTCCTGGTTGCCCCTGCAGATCCATAGTGATCACAAACCCTTGGAGACATTATTGAAAGGTAAACCGCTTCCTCCTAAAATGTCGAACATTAAAAAACGTCGGGCCTGGCGGGAATTGGAGATCATGAGTTGTGTTGATGCAGAGATTTCCTACATTCCGGGACCGTTCAACGGATTGGAAAATTGTCCTTCACGTCTGCATGCGACTGAGGTGGATCAAGTGTTGTGGCCTGTGGAGCGACGAGTGTCATCTGCCTGGCCGTTGGAGCTGCCGGATCCGAAGGATGCCTTGCTGATGCCTGCAGGTTGTGATGATAGTGATGATGAGGAGAACTTCGCGTTGCCAGTTGCAGAATATGTACCAGCCTCATCGGGGAAGCGTACTCAACGCTTGCACCCAGCCTGGTTTCGACGGGCGATAGATAAATGGCCTGGGGTCATCATTGACCTGTTCGGTGACCGACGGAATGTACATCTACCCTACTATGCTTCTAACGAGCCAGGTGGTGGTACGTGGGGATTGTGATGCATTTACTGCTCCCCTGGATGAGGTTTTCGGATGGGCTTGTCCGCCGTGGGTTTTGGTTCTTTGGTTCCTGAACTATATTCAATCCTTTGTAAAGGCTTCTGCGATTATGGTTGTTCCCGTGTGGTCTGGTGCTACGTGGTTTCCGTTGTATTGTCGGATGTTGGCGGATGTGCCTTTGGTAGTACCGCCATTTCAGGGCACGTATTTAGGTGATAATGGCAAGCTCTTGCCGAAACCGTCTTGATGTTCGCTGATTGGATTGCTCAAGAGTGATCGGGGCTAACCCTTCCAACACCTACCTCGGCTCGTTTGGCGACGATTGGGGTTTGCGGGCGTCCCTATGGAGTGCAAAAATTGTATGGTTCCGTTGTTCCGTGTGTCGTTCGGCCTGGGCTACCTACTGCTGAGGATGCTGAGGTTTCGCGGACGGATGCTGGTGATCAGGTAAGTGCGCTCCCTTCTTCCAAATTTTCTCATGAGAGTGACATTCGGTCACTTCCGTCGTTGGCTCTTCAGGAGGCAGACACGTCTAAGTGTCCGATCGGGACTACAGGAACCCTTGTCGATGCAAGAACTACTTAACCAGGAACAAGTTGCTTTATAGAAGGCGATAGTAGATCGTGATACCAGTTGGCAGGCGAGCCAGCTGGTCGAAGAGGATTCCTTGGCTGCCGAGGAGGTGGATCCGCCGTCGGAGGATCAGCTTTCGCAGTTGCAGTAGGGATGTCCGAGCATTTGTGCTGGAGGAGCTCGGAGGAATGTCTAATACGCTGTTTGAAACCCTACTGTGTTGATAACTACACTCTTGAGATATACATATTGAACAAGAGGAACCATATGCTTCTCAATCACTCAAAGACTATGGAGTTGAGGCCACACCTGGTGGCAGGCTAAAATGTATTTAACGCCAAGTGGACTTGTACTACCCGCGTATTTAATTATTTCGCCTTTTACCCAATAGCAATTCAGATACAAGTCGAAATTCAACAGGAGAATTGTAACATATAATATTTATTGTCGCAATCAATATTTTTTTAAAAGACATAAATACCATTTCTATACTGAATATTTATTTTTAAAAGGCGACTGCCGAGTGCTGACTGGCTATAAAGGGTATAAATAGAAATACGTATGATACGCATGCGCATTACCACAAACGTTGAGTACTCGTCCTAACACATGTCGGGTATCATACACTAGCAAGTTACTTGTGTCCTTTGGATGGCAAAGGCTTCCCATGCAGCACGCAAATAATCACATGCCGTTATATCACCTAACACATACGAGTGGACGCTTCTAATATGGATAGTATTGACCAGCCTATATAAGCGTCGGCTATTAAAGAGCTGCACTCCGAAAAGGGTCACGAATTCGGGCCAGCGCACAATGGGTGGCTCGAGCTCGAACGGACCCGAAGCCAAGATACCGGACCTTTCCACTAGCGTATCATCAGTAACGTCAAGAATCAGCGACATGCTCGATGTGAATGCACATGGTGAAGAGCCAAAGCGTGAGCATACTAACCCACTTGGCTATGTGTGCATTGAATGCGGCGCCCCTGTGAAGTCGATATATAGAGAGTATAGTCGAGGCAATATTAGATTAACCCGATGTGCCGCGTGCGGGAGAATTGCGGACAAGTACTGCGAGCTAGAGGCGCAGTTGATCATCACTGACATGTTGTTACATAAGCCTATGGTGTATCGTCACCTGTTGTATAATCGGTGAGTGTAGCCTGTTTAAGGAGTTCAGTGGAGGTATGGTTGCAAGGGATCATCACTGACATGTTACATAAGGCTATGGTGTATCGTCACCTGTTGTATAATCTGTGAGTGTATCCTGTTTAAGGACTTCAGTGGAGGTATGGTTGCGTTGGGATCATCACTGACATGTTGTTGATGGTTGCAATGGGATCATCACTGACATGTTGTTACATAAGCCTATGGTGTATCGTCACCTGTTGTATAATCTGTGAGTGTATCCTGTTTAAAGGACTTTAGTGGAGGTATGGTTGCAATGACAGGCTTCTGCGGGTAGCTTTGGCTCTACCACATCCATGTTAAGACCCGAGTTCCCTGGGTCCCGTAAAGCCACTCAGCTGATCTGTGAGATATATATGTCTGTTAGAGACAAGTGTGCACAGGCCTATAGTACACCGGTCTTCGTAGTGTCACGGGTGAGTGAAGTGTACCTGAGGATGTCAGTGGAGTGTGTGCATACTACTGTGTAGGCTGCCTGTCGTAATCTTTCAACTATAAGACAACCACAACCTGCACCACAGTGCGATGTCTCTATAAAAGGCCTCCACCGTATCTCGAAAGGGGCCACTCGTTCGCTTGTCATAGACACTGCTGCGTGTGTTGTCTTGTTGTATGGCGGAGGGATGCATGCACTGACCACTGTAGGTAAACCCCTGAAATACACACACGTAAGTGCAAAGTGTTGTTGTAAAGGGTACCTGACATCCTGACAGGGGCCTAAGGCAATGCTCCCTTAAGTGTAAGATGGGGTGTACATAGGAATTAAGCGGCTCGAATACGATTACAAATACGACCTCACGAGCGAGCAAGATTATGTGATAGGCACGCAAGCACATCTGAAATAGTGTCTACATATACAAAGCGTTATCATATGGCGTATATCCATGTGCGTGTAGCAAGCATATGTTCGATATATATATATATATATATACATGGAAGTGTGATATATATTAGATTGCCATAGGACCCTCATATTAGTACATATCTATGGCTGTGTCGCTTCACCGGTAGTTTAAAGCGTGGATGCCTGTTTTGAGTTGATTAGCTAATACAGATTCCTCATTAGCTATTACATAACCGCTATCGTTAGGGAGAACACATGTGCAACTACATCTGCGTACAACCATTTGTTTTTGTTCAGACAAATAGCCGGGCCTTAGCCAAATGTTTCAAATAGGAGATAGTAAGCTCGTTGAGGCGACATAGCTCTACCTTACCATTACCTACTAGAACCTATATGAGATAAGCGCGAATGTTCCATTTGAACGTACTTCATCATTCCCAATTGACGTTTCAAACGTATATACACCTTCTAAAGTACCTTTTGGTTTCAAACGTATATGCACCTTCTAAAGTACCTTTTGGTCTTAAACGTATATACACTTTCTAAAGTACCTTTTGGTTCCAAACATATATGCACCTTCTAAAGTACCTTTTGGTTTCAAACGTATATGCACCTTCTAAGGACCTTTTGGGGGCTATGGTTATTGGTATTATCCCTGCAAATGGATGCTCCTCTCCTCTCAGCTGTGTACTTTGGGATTGCTGCTAGCGTTCTGCGTTCATACTACTTGTTGTTCCAATCAATGGTCTGGGGCTGTCAGATGTCCTGAGATGGCTATTCGACCATCGCTGTAAAGGTTTTTGCTGAGTGTTCGCGAATTTGGCGCCACAAGATAAAGCTTACCATTGAGTGATATATACACTCCGTTGAACAGGGTGGCTCTGATTCACATCCGCAGTAGGTTGTAGCGTGATCCATGCCATTATACACACATGTGTATGATAGGGTGATCCAAGCCATTATACACACATGTGTATGATAGGTTGATCCATGTTATTATACACACATGTGTATGATAGGGTGATCCATACCATTATACATACATGTGTATGATAGGGTGATCCATGCTATTATACACACATGTGTATGTGGTACATTCATCTCTATTGAGTGAAGGAGTGCTACCACAAAGCATTCTCTATTGTACAAGTCTCTTCAGATCCTGCAAAGCCTTATTTGGTTCAACTATTCCCAATCCGTTACAGCCATTTCTTACCCCAACGCATTCGCTACGTCTGTGAGGCTGCATTGAATCCTCATTCCGTTTCTTTCGCGCAACACAGTTACGGCAAGGAAGCCGACAAGTGGATGTGGAAGCTCATGCTGCTGATCTTGTTATGCGATGCCTATTTGCGTTGTAACGTGGTGTTCGGGCAGGAAGTACAGAGCGACATACACCCAGCCGTACTAGCGTTGCTTTTCTTTCTGGTCAGTTGAATGTTTGAGTGTTGTTGTTTGGTTCTTTCTTGTGAGTTGATTGTTTGAGTGTTGTTGTTTGGTTCTTTCTGGTCAGTTGATTGTTGGAGTGTTGTTGTTTGGTTCCTTCTGACGAGTTGATTGTTTGAGTGTTGTTGTTTGTTCTTTCTGGTGAGTTGATTGTTTGAGTGTTGTTGTTTGGTTCTTTCTGGCCAGTTGATTGTTTGAGTGTTGTTGTTTGGTTCCTACTGATGAGTTGATTGTTTGAGTGTTGTTGATTGGTTCTTTTCTGGTCAGTTGATTGTTTGAGTTTGGTTGTTCGGTTCTTTCTGGGAAGTTGATTAATTGAGTGTGGTTGTTTAGTTCTTCCTTGTACAGAGTGACGTACAAAGATATTCAGCCGTAATGGCGTTGCTGTTGTTTCTGTTCGGTTTGTTGTTTGCGTTTGGTTTTTGGGCTCTTACTAGTGAGTCTGTTACTAATCTGAGATTGGGGTGTTCTGGTGAGTGGTCTATGTATAGCCGTTCATAGTGAGATCGCCCCACAATTGATTTGCGATACCACATCGTTTACAAGTTTATCGTGTATATTGGCAGCCTCTGCCGGGCAGACATGAAGTTTTCTATACACAAATTGCTTCCCCTGACGCGTATGTATCAAACATGTGCTAGTGGACCAACATACGTACGTTTTTCACTTGCGGGTGGATTTCTTAGGGGCGAATCACACACTTGTTCGATTCGCCGATACACATCCTATATAACTTCAGTATGTGGTGCCTTGTACAACAATCGAGGCAGGTATGAGTGGGCAAATTAGCAGTAATCCTGAGCAATGCTCGGCTCACCATACGCGAGTAGCTGACCGGGTTTGCTCAAGTAATATCACATGGCTGTGTACATCCACGCGCTGTCTCTGGCCACCACATCTGATGAATATAGTATAGTCCGCTGGTTACGTACCAGAACTAACCTCGCACGCATATGTTATAATCCCATCTCATCTCGCAATAGAGGTGAGAGTGAGAGTATGTTCTCCCCGACCGCAACCCGTGCATTTGGCCGCACCTGTTGTGGTCTGTTTATAAGCACGCACACACGAAATCACACACACACACGGACACACACACACACACATACACACACACACATATATATAAATATATATAAATATATATATATATATATATATATATATATATATATATATATATATATATATATATACGTATATAGTATATATATATATATAT